CCAATCCCGCCAGCTAGCCCTCCTCACCAGCGGGACGCAATGTTACCAGTCAAAAACTTTCCCCCTCCACTTCAGTCCCACGCCTGTTCCATAGGCAGGTAAAAGACAACTGATCCCCTCCCACACTCTTCCTAGACCCCCTTCTTCAACTGCATTCCCCGACAAGCCAACCTCCTTCACCCATAGTTCGCGAGATGAAGAAAAGTGAAGGAAGACAACCCTCGACTTCCTCTTGCGACAAACCGACCTCCTCCACCACATAGTTCGCAGAAGAGAAATGAAAGTGATCCACCATCTGAAACTTGCCAACCCTACCCAAACCTCAGATACTGATCAGATCCTTCGCCTACCTACCCTAAACCAAAACTGACTTATGAGAGGTGAACTTCATGCAATCCGACTTTAAAACCAAGTTAGAGTCGTTATTGAGAATCAAGAGATTAGAATTCGAAATCTGATTTATGAGTATCGGTATCAAGAAACTAAAGAATAGAACTAAAAAAATAAAATACGAAGTATTTCGATTTTCAACATCAGTTCAAAATTGAGTAATCGTTCATTGAGATCAGAGCAAAGCTCTGATTTACGAATTTCCGATTGGGAATCTTGCTAAAAAATTACGAATTGAAACTCTGATTTGCGAAGTTCAGATTAAGAATCTTACCCAGAAATTACGGATTGAAAATTAAGTTGAATTTCAATTAGGGATCAATTACTACCAGCAAAACACATAAAATCTCATGAATCAGATTTAAGACCAAACACACAAAGTCATTCAAACGTCATCTGAAAAAATCCTAGTCATGCCAGCATCAGAATACATCATCGTCAGGAGAATCCAAATCATGTTTTACGCTAGAAAATTAAACACTCAGTAGGGATTTTATAAACTCGTAATCAGCGGGATAGGAAAGACAGTGGACAATCTACGTAAATCCTTACCAGCCCTAATTCCCACTGCCCACTCATATCATGTCCTCTCCCACTCTCAACCTCCACCTCCTCCTTCATCGGCTTCAGAAGCATTTCAACCGTTCGTGGCCTACTTAGCATGTAACCAATAAGTTGAACGATGAAAGTTATCGGACCGTGGCCAACACTTACCACAACACAGCCACGTAGTGAGCCCCAGTCGCCAAACCTGTCGACAACCCGTCGCTGGCAGTCCAGATAGGGAAATAAACATCCATGGTGGCCAAAACCTGCTCGATCCGCCGTCTCTCGTAGCCCGCCTTAAGAATCCACACCAAGAGAAGATCTATGGAGTATACTCCCAGAGAAGAGAAAACAACACCTCACCCACTCGCCACCACGCCCAGCCATGCCGCGCCTTGAATTTTCACCCGCTACGTCCGCGCCTCACCACTCGCTGCTGCTCCCCATCCCTGTTCATCGCCATACCCAGCCATCCCGCACCTCAAGTTTTCGCCCACTGCATCGCCTACGTCGCCCAACTTTTCCATCGCGCACCGGCAGGATCGTACCAGCAGGGCACAGCGCTCCCGATCGTGCCGCGCCCTGCCGTCCGGGAAGTTGGTCTTTGACTTGCGATACCCTAATGGCACCGTTGTGGAAGATTGACAACTCACTATTGTTGTAATGAAAATATAATATGATAATGATTACAATATTTACGGAGAAGTCCTAATAACGATCATGAAGAGGATGAGGACGCGAAATGATGATGATGACCACCGTCAACAGTGATGGTGAATACCGGCAAAAGAGATGCGGGTGACGTAAAAGACGAGCAGCTTGGATATGAGAAGACAACCAGCGGCAATGTTGATGATAAAACAACGCTTCTGATGAAAAAAACTGCACAAGAAAAAACAACAACAAAAGAACACAAGAATGAAGAAGAGCTCCGTTGATGATGATCTCGTCGACGATCCTCCTATTGTGATGATGCTCTAAGCTGGTCCAGCGGTCTCCACACTTTGGTTCCACGGGGCTGACTCCACTTTCTTCCACCGACATCGACTTTCGCCAACTCGCTTGAGCGCTTCAGTCTCTATAAGGGCATTGGCTATGGAGTACTTGACGTGGAAAGCACAGGGGAAATTGACAAACAACAGCTTCCACCACTATTCTCCCTCTTCCACAATGCCTCAGGCCAGCCGCCACATCAGCCTGTGACGTGGATTGGCCAAGTGCCTCTGGATGCCACACATGCGTCAAGCGCTATCACCAGATCCTTCTATCCCCTCACAGCATCCTCATGCCAACGCGTCCACACGCACTAGCTATCAGCACCATGCCATGTGCATGAAGCCAGCACCACGCCATCCACCAGTCGCCAGCACCTCGTTGCTTACCCGTAGCCAGCGCCTCGCCGTCCGCAAGCAACCAGCGCCTCACTCCTCTCAAGGAGCCAGCGCCTTGCCACCTTCGAACCACCAGCGCCCCACTACCAGCGCACAACCACACCTCGCCACCGATGGCTGACCAGCGCCCCGCCGCGCGCACGCTGCCAGCGCCACACCTCCAGCACGCGCATTGACGTCAACATGTTCCGCCATTGTGCGAGCGCTAACGCGCTCCTCCACAACTGCCGAGAAACATGTGTCTTGACATGCCCAAAGACCCATTCTGTTGGATTCAGGAAAGGAGAGTACGGAGGAAGGTAAAGAAAGGTGTGTCCAACTTCCTCAATTGCCCTCTGGACATCCCCACCACAGGGACCGCACAAGGCATAAGGCACATGAGTGGACGTATGAGGCACACAAAAACGCAAGGCCCGTGAGAGCACAATGCATGTGAGAGGACAAGACAAGTGGATGTAACCACCGGTTTTCACTGGGTCCCACCTTTTATCTACCATTTTCCAATGCATCCCACCTTTTTCTGTCCAAGTGGAAATGTCCATATTGCTTCATGGGGTGTCAGATTCTGGTCAACCTAAGTAGATCCTACAAAATTCTAAACCACTCTGAAAACTTGCTTTTTTTTTTTTAAATGGCTAATTCTTTCTTTCTTTCTTTTCTGAGAAAACTAGGGCGCTGTCACCGTTACAGTTTGAAAATACATTTCAAACTGCCGTTTTGGAGTCCAGTCCCCGCTTAAGTTTACACTGCAGACCAAACTCCGCCGTAGCGTGGCTGTCGCAGGACTGAGTTTGTAACTGCAGTCTAGTCATCCACGTTGGAGGCCAGGCCGTTTTCCAAAAAAAAAAGAAAAGAAAAGAAGAAACAAAAAAAAAGATCGTGGCACTGTATCTTTCCATGCTCTACCGAAAGATTCACTCTCGGCTCTCGGTTTCCACGACTGATCTCCAAATGTGCAAAACGAGAGTGAATCTTGCCCAGAACATGGAAAGATACAGCTCCATGAATTTTGTCTTCTGTGCAACGGGAATACAGGGGCCCAGCGGGATACACGGGCTGACTAAAACGCAGAGGCCCTAGGGGAGACACGTGCTGACAAAAACCCAGCTTCTTTTCTTTTTTTTTGCCTCTTTTTTTTCCTTTCTCAGATTTCTCGATCTATGCGTGCCATCCTTGGGCCTCGTGGTGGTGCATCTTTCCATGTTGTAGAGGAAGATTCACTCTCGTTTTGCATGGCTCCACTACTCTCGAAATGTGCAAAACGAGAGTGAATCTTCCCCAGAACATGGAAAGACACAGCGCCCTTGATTTCTTTCCGTTGTGCATGTCAAGAATTGTGGAGCAAGGCCCCCTCTGTCTTCTTCTTCTTCTTCTTCTTCTTCTTCTTTTTTTTTTTTTTTTTTTTTTTTTTTTTTTTTTTTTTTTTTTTTTTTTTTTTTTTTTTAAAAATCTAGGCTCCGTCGTGTGGCTGGGAACGGCCGCTATGCCTCGGCCACATCCGAGGTTAAAAAAAAAAAAAAAAAGAGAGAGCATCTCGTCGCGTGGTTCACGGCCGTGATGCCTCGGCCACGGCCGACATTAAAAAAAAAAAAAAATAGAAAAAAAAGAAAAAAAAAGAGGAGGCCACATGGCGGACTGGACTGCAGTTGCAAACTCAGCCTTGCGACTTTTATGCTGTGAAGTGTTTCGACTGCAGTTTAAACTTGGGACGGTACTGCAAACAGGCAGTTCGAAATGCATTTACAAACTGCTTTCGTGACTGCGCCCTAGTTACCCCTTTTT